CAGGCGCTGTGCCAGCTTCTTCCTGGGAGATGAAAGTACAAGTCACATTTAGCACAGAGGAAGCAGGGTGCTTTTTATAAGAGCATGGTTAATCATTTTCATCAGTCTGAGCCACACAGAGTGAAGGGCTTCATTTATGCGGTAGTTAGCCTTTGCCTTTACCAAACCACTACATCTTCTATAGGACAGATACCTGCTTTCTGTTACCCTTCTGCAAAGCAAGTATCTTAGTGTGACTCTTCCAACATCACCTTTGAATTTTCAGCCCCCCTGGCTTCTTCTTATACTGTCACCACATACTTGGCCTCCTCCAGCTCCTCCGTGCGCTGAATAGCATCCGTCTCGTATTTGGTTCTCCACTGGGCCACTTCGCTGTTGGCCTTGGACAGGGCACGCTGCAGCTCCCCCTTGGCTTCCTGCTCCTCCTCATACTGTTCCCGGAGCAAGTCGCAGTCGTGGCGAGCAGACTGCAAGGCGTGGGCCAGGGCGTTCTTGGCCTAAGTAGACAATGGGATTGGGATAATGAATTGCCTGTGAGACAAAAGAATGTTAACTTAGGGAACGTTGTGGAAAACTTTGAAACTGACATTTAAATTTATCCCAAGGAAAAAAGGTACATTGATTCCGTGTTCAGAGAAGGTTCTTATCGCTTCATCCATCAGAATCTAGAATGTTACCTCAGGAGAGATGATGGGCAAACCCTAAATGACAACTATAAAGCTGGGAATTGTTCGACCCTTTTAAATATGTTCTGAAGTTTCAACTTCCATTATGAAAAAGTAGAATAAGAAACATAGTTTTTTAGACTTATCTAAACCTTTTTTTATATGCCATTATTAATCCAAATAAAGACCTAAAGTTGTCCTTCCCTGTCTCAGTGTTCCGGTTAAAGGTGATGCACTCCTCAAAGTCAGAGAGAGGTGGTAAAATTATCCATCTAGTTAGAGAGCTCCCAAAGTAAAATGATATGGCGAATTTATTCTGATTTTATGTGAGAATAGGAAATACCATGAAAGAAAATGGAATCCAAATCCAAAGTCAGCTCCCCTACAGGAAGTATATTTACCTTTATTTCTTCCTCTAAATGTCTCTTTAGTTCGTCAATCTGTTGAGTAAATGCCTGTTTGCCTCTGGATAGCTGAGATATCAAAGCATCTTTTTCTTCTACCTGTCGTGAATATTCACCTGAAAAATTTTACAGATAGGCTGTAATTTAAAAAACAGTACTAAACTGATGTGTCTTTAAAGCACTGTATACCAGCTTACAGAGCATAGACCAATTTGAGCAAAACATCACTCTTTTTCTTGTCATCCTTGGTTACAGGTTCCCCCATTGCACAGGGGTGTCAGGGTGCGTTACCTGATTCTGTCTGCAGACGAGCTCTTTGAGTATTGAGGTCATTGATCATGCGCTGATGCTCCTCATCTTTTGACTTAAGCTCACTCAGCTGGTCTTCCAGAGTGCGGCACATTTTCTCCAGGTTTGCCTATATGTCAAACACATGTAAGGAAAGAGGACTACCGCTAAATTCTGGCATGTTGTTCTCATGATGAAAAACAATACAGCTGTGTGTGACAGCAAAATATAATCAGAAGGTTCAGAAACACAAATCAGGTCAAGTATCATAGGGCAGTAACTTAACAGAAACTCAGTACCTTGGCTTTGGAGACAGACTCCATGTTACTGGCCAGGTCGTCAATCTCCATCTTCAGCTCACTCTTCTCCTTCTCCAGCTTCTGCTTCACTCGTTGCAGGTTGTCGATCTGCTCCCCCTGTGCTGTCCGCGTGCTTCTCCCGCAGGGTGCCAGCCGTGGCTTCATGCTGCAGCGTGGCCTCTTCGAGGTCACGACGCATCTTCTGAAATTCTGCCTCACGCTTCTTGTTCATATCAATCTGAGCTGCTGTAGCCCCTCCTGCTTCCTCCAAGCGCTCGCTGATCTCCTCTAGCTCCCTGGAGAGGTCAGCCCGATGCTTCTCGGCTTTTGCCCGAGAGGTTCGCTCGGCCTCAATTTCCTCCTCCAGTTCCTCTATACGGGCCTGGGGAACATCAGCAACCCATCACACCTATGCCCTCCTCCCACCTGGCCTATGTCTGGGTGAGAGAGGGGAAGGAACAGAGACTTGCCTGCAGCTCCTTGATCTTCTTCTGTAATTGCATCCCCAGAAGTTGCTCATCCTCGATTTTGCTCTGGA